AGAAATGGACAGATTTCTAGATACATATGATCATCCAAAACTGAACCAAGAGGAAATTAATCACCTGAATAGACCTATAACACAAAATGAAATTGAAGCAGCAATCAAGAGTCTCCCCAAAAAGAAAAGTCCAGGACCTGATGGATTCTCTGCTGAATTCTATCAGACCTTTAAAGAAGAACTGATACCAACCCTCCTTAAACTGTTCCACGAAATAGAAAGGGAAGGAAAACTGCCAAACACATTTTATGAAGCCAGTATTACACTTATCCCAAAACCAGGCAAAGACACCTCCAAAAAGGAGAACTATAGGCCAATCTCCTTAATGAACATTGATGCAAAAATCCTCAACAAAATAATGGCAAACCGAATTCAGCAACACATCAAAAAGATTATTCACCACGACCAGTAGGCTTCATCCCAGGGATGCAGGGGTGGTTCAACATACGAAAATCAATAAACGTAATAAACCACATTAACAGAAGCAAAGACAAAAACCACTTGATCATCTCAATAGATGCAGAAAAAGCCTTTGATAAGATCCAACACATTTCATGATAAAAGCTCTAAGAAAACTAGGAATAGAAGGAAAGTTCCTCAACATTATAAAAGCTATATATGACAAACCTACAGCCAGCATTATACTTAACGAGAAAAACTGAAAACCATTCCCTCTAAAATCAGGAACCAGACAAGGATGCCCACTATCTCCACTCCTATTCAACATAGTACTGGAATTCCTAGCCAGAGCAATTAGGCAAGAAGAAGGAATAAAAGGAATACAAATAGGTAAAGAAACTGTCAAAATATCCCTATTTGCAGACGACATGATCCTATATACCTTAAAGACCCAAAAAACTCTACTCAGAAGCTTCTAGACATCATCAATAGCTATAGCAAGGTAGCAGGATATAAAATCAACATAGAAAAATCATTAGCATTTCTATACACTAACAATGAGCAAACGGAAAAAGAATGTATGAAAACAATTCCATTTACAATAGCCTCAAAAAAAATCAAATACCTAGGTGTAAACCTAACAAAAGATGTGAAAGACCTCTACAAGGAAAACTATACACTTCTGAAGAAAGAGATTGAGGAAGACTATAGAAAGTGGAGAGATCTCCCATGCTCATGGATTGGTAGAATCAACATAGTAAAAATGTCATACTCCCAAAGTAATCTACATGTTTAATGCAATTCCCATCAAAATTCCAATGACATTCATTAAAGAGATTGAAAAATCTACTGTTAAATTTATATGGAAACACAAGAGGCCACGAATAGCCAAGGCAATACTCAGTCAAAAGAACAATGCAGGAGGTATCACAATACCTGACTTCAAACTATATTACAAAGCAATAACAATAAAAACAGCATGGTACTGGCCAAAACACATGAAGACCAGTGGAACAGAAGACCAGTGAACAGAATAGCCAGATATGAAGCCACACAACTATAACAACTTGTCTTTGACAAAGGAGCTAAAAATATACGATGGAGAAATAGCAGCCTCTTCAACAAAAACTGCTGGGAAAACTGGTTAGCAGTCTGCAAAAAACTGAAACTAGATCCATGTATATCACCCTATACCAAGATTAACTCAAAATGGATCAAGGATCTTAATATCAGACCCCAAACTCTTAAGTTGATACAGAAAGAGTAGGAAATACTCTGGAGTTAGTAGGTATAGGTAAGAACTTTCTCAATGAAACCCCAGCAGCACAGCAACTAAGAGATAGCATAGATAAATGGGACCTCATAAACTAAAAAGCTTCTGTTCATCAAAAGAAATGGTCTCTAAACTGAAGAAACACCCACAGAGTGGGAGAAAATATTTGCCAACTATACATCAGACAAAGGACTGATAACCAGAATATAAATCTAAAAAACTAAATTCTCCAAACTAATAATGAACCAATAAAGAAATGGGCAAGTGAACTAAACAGAACTTTCTCAAAAGAAGAAATTCAAATGGCCAAAAACACATGAAAAAATGCTCACCATCTCTAGCAATAAAGGAAATGCAAATTAAAACCACACTAAGATTCCACCTCACCCCTGTTAGAATAGCCATCATCAGCAACACCACCAACAACAGGTGTTGGCGAGGATGCGGGGAAAAAGGAACCCTCTTACACTGTTGGTGGGAATGTAGACTAGTACAACCACTCTGGAAAAAAATTTGGAGGCTACTTAAAAAGCTGACATCGATCTACCATTTGATCCAGCAATACCACTCTTGGGGATATACCCAAAAGACTGTTACTCCAGAGGCACCTGCACATCCCATGTTTATTGCGGCACTATTCACAATAGCCAAGTTATGGAAACAGCCAAGATGCCCCAGCACTGACGAATGGATTAAGAAAATGTGGTATCTATACACAATGGAATTTTATGCAGCCATGAAGAAGAACGAAATGTTATCATTCGCTGGTAAATGGATGGAATTGGAGAACATCATTCTGAGTGAGGTTAGCCTGGCCCAAAAGACCAAAAATCGTATGTTCTCCCTCATATGTGGACATTAGATCAAGGGCAAACACAACAAGGGGATTGGACTTGAGCACATGATAAAAGCGAGAGCACACAAGGGAGGGGTGAGGATAGGTAAGACACCTAAAAAACTAGCTAGCATTTGTTGCCCTTAACGCAGAGAAACTAAAGCAGATACCTTAAAGCAACTGAGGCCAATAGGAAAAGGGGACCAGGAACTAGAGAAAAGGTTAGATCAAAAAGAATTAACCTAGAAGGTAACACCACGCACAGGAAATCAATGTGAGTCAATGCCCTGTATAGCTATCCTTATCTCAACCAGCAAAAACCCTTGTTCCTTCCTATTATTGCTTATACTCTCTCTACAACAAAATTAGAAATAAGGGCAAAATAGTTTCTGCTGGGTATTGAGGGAGGGAGAGGGAGGAGGTGGAGTGGGTGGTAAGGGAGGGGGTGGGGGCAGGGGGGAGAAATGAACCAAGCCTTGTATGCACATATGAATAATAAAAGAAAAATGAAAAAAAAATGCTAAAAAAAATTAAACAAAAATAAAAGAAGAAAACTACGACAATATTTTTATAATTATTGTGCAAGAAACTGAAAGACTGAAAGAATTATAAGAAATGATAGAGACTTTTTTTTTGTCAGGACTGGGGTTTGAACTCAGAAGCTTTTGCTTGCTGGGTAGGCACTTTATCACTTAAACCATGCCCCTAGCCCCTTTTCCCTTAAGTTTATCTTTCAGAAAGGGACTTTTGCCCAAGGTGGGACTTAGACCATGATCCTCCTACTTCAACCTCCCATGTAGCTGGGATTACAGGTACCATGATCCTCCTATCTCAACCTCCCATGTAGCTGGGATTACAGGTGTGCCCCACAACAACCAGCCAAGAGTTAATTTTCAGGTAAAAACTTCAGGGACACCTAGTCGTGGGGAGTAAAAAAAATTAACATGTACACCTTAGAAAGAGCTCATTTAGGAAAAAGAACATTAAGCAAATTTCTAATAAGCAACATAAACTATAACAATGAATATATATAATATGAATATTAGCAATATTAAATATTATAAAATTTAATATTGAATAGAAAAGCATGTCACAGAAGAATATTTTAATATATTTTTAAAGGCAAAATCAAATAACATTATTTTGGGATTCATATATATGTGGGAATACTGTTAAAAAACCCAGGAGTGATTAAACACAAATGGTTACCTCTGAAGGGTAGAAGGAGAGGGGGATTTGTAATTTTGAAGAGAGGTGCACAGAACTCCTCCAGAGTACAAATATTTTTGTTGCTTAAGCTCAGTGGTGTGTTCATAGTTGTCCACTTAGTATTATTCTTTAAACTCTCTATTTTATATGCTTTTTTATCTGCATGCTGTGTTTTACAATGAAGAAAAAAATTAATGTATAATGAAGATGAATAAGCAGTTCACAATGGAAGAAATAGTAGTGCCATTAAATGTGTTAAAAAGTAAACTATATAATTAATGATCATAGAAATACAAATTGAAGTATATTATCTTTTCTAAAATTTTAGAATGACAAAGAGTCAAAAGACTGATAAATACCAGTGTTGTTAATAGTGTGGTGAGAGCCAGGTGCTCGTGGCTGATGCTGTAATTCTAGCTTCTTGGGAGGCAGAAATCAAGAGGATCCCAGCTGGAAGCCAGCCTGGGGAAATAGTTCAAGATACCCTATCTCAAAAACACCCAGCACACTTGCAAAAAACAGGGCTGGTGGAATGGCTCAAGTAGTAGAGCACCTGCATAGCAAGCATGAGTCCCTGAGTTCAAACCCCAGTACTGTACCAAAAAATAGATAAATAAATAAGAAATAATGGGGTGAAAAAGCCTCAAAATGCAACTGTAAAGAAATAAAGTTGGGTCACAATTCATTCATGGAAGAAACTGTGTTATGGTTCTATGTACTAGGGTAACATTGAGTGAGGAAATCTTGCTCTACCTTGTTTATTTACATTTTGTTGAAATATTATGTGTTACATTTGTTTGTTTGTTGAAGCAGGGTCTCATTAGATAGCCCAGGCTGGCCTCAAAATCTCAGTCCTCCTTTCTTTGCCTCCCAACAGCAGACATGGACATTTGCCATGCCTGGTTTGTGTGTTGCATTTATGATAAAGGTTTTTTTTTTTTTTTAACTTTTCTTTTTTTGGTGGTACTGGTGTCTGAACTCGAGGCCTTCACGCTTGCTAGGCTGATGCCTACCACTGAGCCACACCCCAAGGCCTTGTTAAAAAAATTTTAAGGACTTACCAAGAAAATTCAGATACATCTACATTTGTATAAGAGATCAAGCTAATTGGTTTAATGTTCATCACTCATGTTCAATATTATAAACTTAATTTTATAATGTCCTGCTTAAGTTAAAGGACATTATTTATGAAGTCTTAAAAGTGGGAAATGAAAATCTTCATCATTCAGCAAAATCCTGTGAATCTTCCCATTGAGTGATACAACTTTATTTATGTTCAAACAGAATCACCAACAAAAATGAAGAGAAGTCATCAGCTGACACCTCTCAGGTAATCTAGGTTGAGCAATTTACCTTTGTCATCTTCTTCACTACCATCATCAACATATGGCACAGAATGACTTCTGTTCCTCTCTTCTACAGAAGGGGACTTGTTAAACACCCTACTCCATCCAAAAGGATGTCTCTGTTGCACACCTTATCATCTTGTGGATTATTTCCCTTATTTTTTCATTCATGTTTGCATTCAGTCATAAAAGCAGATACATCCTGAGTATCTGCTTTTTGCCAGGTATTATACTAGACAAAGAGAATCAATCTTAAATAAAATAAATCCCAAATCTGTCCTCATGGAACTTAGAATCTCTTAGGAAATACAGATGTTGACTAAGTAATTAGAAGCATAAGGAATTTTATAAAAGGGTGCTGCTGTAGAATATAAGGGATCTGACCAAGATGAGGGTGTGGAAAGACCTTCTGAAGGAAAGGATGTTGAAGTTGAAACTGATGCATTCAAATGCATTAGACCATCAATATATATCCTATATATTTATATATACTATATATCATATTTATATATGCTTATATATAAATATGTATTTACTTATATACCATGTATTTCTTTTCAGCTAGAGAAAGGAGAATAAAGGAAAGGGAGATGAGTAACATGGCCAGAGGCAGTTCTGTGGAGAGAGTAATACTAATTCTTTTGCTCAAGAAATACTTATTGAGACTCTCTTTGATGACAGGTACTGTTCCAGGTTTAAGGTGGCTTATCACTGAACAGATCTAAGTTCCCCAGTTACCATGGAGCTTGCCCTCTATGTCATGTTACCTTTTTGAGTTTATTCTAAAACAAAAGAAAACTACAGAAAGATTTTAAACAGGAAAGATACATGGTCTTTTTTGTTTGTTTTTTTTAAAAGATTGCTTTGACTGGAGGTGTGGCTCAGTGGTAGAGCGGCTGTCTAAAAGATTGCTGTGGCTGAATAGTGAAGAATGGGCAATCTAGAAGTCCTCTCTTCATTCATAGCCACATAATTCTTCAGAGAAGTCTTGACAGTAACTATGGCTACCTGGAATGGTAAAAAGTATTTTCAGTGCAATAAGGACAAAAGACTCTTTTTCTTAAGAACTGATCCATATTGATCAACATAAGAGAATTTTTAAATTTCCAAATAGAGACAGTGATACACATATAACTTTATATTGTTGTAATAATATGTCAAATTAGCTTTTAGGAGATGGCTAATTAGCTTGGGTAGTGGTTTTGAGTCACAGATACTTTTGGAAGAATTTGATGAAAGCTGTGAAGCATCTCTATAGAGAAAAATTTTACTTTCATATCATTTGAGGGAGTTCATGGACTCTAAAGCTTGTCTGCAGGCCTCATGCATGTATGTATCACTTTTTAAAAATGCACAGGCTCACTTTACAGAAGATTTAATTATAAAGAAGCAACCAAGAAATGGGCAAAGAGCTTATTTTAAAGAAATATGCATTTCACACAAAATGTTTTAAAACCTTTTTCATTCCACTATGGAAAGGAGACTTACTTAGTAAATCTGAGAAAGTTTAAAGTTCTAGATCAAAAGATTATGCACCTGTGCACTCATTACCCTCCCAGTTGACTTAACTTCTCAAGCCAGTACAAGAACAGAACTAACTGAAACGGGGCAATGGGGTAATGGTGCTCATCTCAGCAAAACAGATCTCTGCTTAGGCTCTCTCAAAAATGGACCTAAGTTATTAGATTATCATTGTTTTATCTCACATGTTTACATGAGAAAATTTAATTCTTACATATACAAAGACTACATTTTCCAAAGAGCTTTCATATCATTTTAGTTCATTGGATGATATTCATGTCAAGTGTTATGGCAGAGTTCCTCAAAAAATTTAAACAAAGAATTGCCACTTCTGAATATATAATCAATGTGAAGGCATAACGGCATTATTCACAGTAACCAAAAGGAGAAAGCAACCCAAGAGTCTGTTGCTAGATGCATGCATGAAGAAAATGTGGAATGTAATACAATGGGAAATCATCTGGCCTCAAAAAGGAAAGAAGCTCTCATACGTACTACAAATTGAATAAAACTTGAAGACGTCCTAAGTGAAATAAACCAGTTACAAAACAACAAGCAGAACATGTGATTCTACTTTGTGACATACCTAGAGTAGTCAAATTCATAGACAGAGAGAGTAGAATGGGTTGTCAGTGATGATAAGAGGGAGAGATGGGGAGTTATTATTTAATTAGTAGAGAGGTGCAGTTTGGGAAGACAAAGTTTGGAGGTAGATAGTGATAATGACACCATCACACAGCAGGGTGAATATACTTAATGCCATTGAAAATGGTTAAACGGGTAAGTTCTGTGTTACATGAATTTTATTAGAAAAAAGTTCATGCCAGCTATGGATCATAAGGATAATTACTGACAATTATATAAACGGATTTGACTTATTAAATGTACTGACATTGCAAACTGGTCTTCAAAAGGATGAATTCATGCTGTGGATATAAACTTAAGTGATAGAGCACTTGCCTAACAAGCACAAGGGCCTGGATTCAATGCCCAGTACCAAAAGAAAAAAAAAAAAGATGAACTTATTTTCTCAGTCTAACTTTTTGATAATCCAAATAAAATTTGTTGTTGCGATAGCCACATTTGTTGCAATTATAAACTCAGTTTACTCCCCTTTTCATACCAACAGGAAAATCCAGAGGATCCAGGCCTGTGGGAGGAGAAATTTGGAAATTTTGTAGATGTCAAAGCTAATGGTAAATGTCAATGCTAATGGTGTAGAATTAAGTCATTTCAAAATGCCTAAATACCTCTATCTAAAATTTTCTGGAGGGCTGGTGACATAGCTCAGTTGTAGAGTGCTTGTCTAGCATGTATAAAGCCCTAGGTTTGATCCCCAGCACCAAAAATAGTAATAAATAGATAAAAATAAAAGTCCTTTGAACATTGGCACCTAAAACAAGTGACTTCTGTTAAGTGAACAGAAATCTGAGATTTCTTTGCAATAGATTAGTGGTGATTCTATGCCTATAGGGAGGAGTATGAGAGAAACACAGGCCACACAGAGCTTTCGGTCTCAAGAAAGCATCTAAGTCAGCCCACTGCTTGCAGTGGATGAGAAGCTACAGATTCCACATCTATTTCAATGAGATTTAAGTGGTAAGAAACCAACTTCTAGAGCTCATCTTCTCCAGCATGCCAAGCCAGTAGTCCTCAACCTTTTCCAGGCCTTCTCCTCGTTCATATGGCTGTCATATGCCAATCTGTGACATTTCTCACTAGGCTTAATGACAGAGTGGAGGAATGGGGATAGAGTTTGTCTCACTCAGATACATGGGGTTTATATGATTAGAAACAATTCATTTCCTGGGCCAAGCGTGATTGCCCACATCTGTTCCGTGCAGGAGGTGACATTGGGAAGATCTTGGTTTAAGGCCAATCCGGGCAAAAAAGTTACCCTCCTCAAAAAACAAACTGGCATGGTGATACATGTCTGTAATCCCAGCTACAAGGGAGGATTGTGGGTCCAAGCTGACTCAGGCAAAAGTGCAAGATCATACCTGAAAGATAGCACAAAAAATGGACATGGGGGGCTCAAGTAATAGAGCACTTGCCTAGAACGAATGAGGCTCTGAGTTCAAACTCTAGTGCTGCCAAAAGAAAAAGAAACACACGAATTTTCCTCCTTTCTCCCTTCCCTGGAGCATAACAAACCTTCTCTAAGTACTTGAGAGCCTGCTCTACCACTGATGTGCATGGCACAGTGTGAATGACTAGGGCTGACAGAATTCTCATGATTGGTAAATAGGGGGTGGTCCTCGTGTGTTTTTGTTTGTTTACCTTTGATGGGACTGGAGTTTGAAGTCAGGGCTTTGCATTCACAAAGCAGGTGCTCTACCACATGAGCCATGCCTCCAGTCTATTTTGCTGTGGTTATTTTGGAGATGGGAACTTGCAAAATATCCGCCTGGGCTGGCCCCGAACTGCCATCTTCCTCATCTCAGCCTCCCAAGTAGCTGGGATTACAGGCATGAGCCACCAGTGCCCAGCTACATTATATCTTTTTTGCCTTTTCTTTGGCATCTCTTTTCTATAAATTCCAATAAATTAGGGCCATGTCATGTCAAATACTTTAAGTGCGGGTTTAATAAATGTTATCTCCTAGTTATTTGCACTTTTTTCTTCTCTCTAAAATAATTGTTAAGTAAAGGACTTTGTGTTTGGTTAAAAAGAATTCATACACCTAGAATCATGGGGAAGTAGTATTTTGAGGATCTAGGAGAGGCCTTCCTGCTGCTCTTGTCATAACAGTCTTTATAGGCATCCACAGATGAGGCTGACAGTAAAAGCTGTTATCAGGCAGAAGATTCCTAATCATTCACCTAGCAAAGATTAAAAGTACTCACTATCCTTGCTCCCCAAAGCTTAGAAGCATATGGTATATTTTAGGAACTTTTTAATTGGAAATAAATCTGAAACCGTATCTTACAGATGGTAAAGAGATTTGCCATAAATAAGGTCACAGAGAAATTCAGCACACAGCTAAGGCAACATAAGTAATGAATAATAGTACATACATTTTTGTATCCCATCAATACCTGAACATAGCATCTTATTGAGAATCAGCACACAGCATTTACTGATTGATTGGGGCAAGCTCAGTTCTTTGTACTCCTTCCTGGTCTAGTCATCTTGCTTTACTCCTAGTTAACTCAATCTCCTTAATTGATTGTCCTATTGAAAAGCAAAACTCAGTCACTCTCCTGGTCTCTACAGGTCCTGCATCCATTGGTTTGGATTTCTCCTTGCATGGGTTTGAACACGTCTATGGGATCCCACAACATGCAGAATCACACCAACTTCAAAATACCAGGTAAATGAAATAAGAATCCTTTTTTTGGTGGTACTGGAGTTTGAATTCAGGACTTTGTGCTTGCTAGACAGGTGCTTTACCACTTGAGCCACACCTCCAGCCCTTTTTGCTCTGGTTATTTTCCAGATGAGGTCTTGCTTCTTGCCCAGACCAACCTGCACTGCAGTCCTCCTATTTCATTCTTCCTGCCATAGCACCATACCCAGTTTCTTTCTGTTGATATGGAGTCTCACAAACTCTTTTCCCTGGGCTAGCCTGGAACTGTGATCCTCCCGATTTTAGCCTCTCAAGTAGCTAGGATTACAGTGAGCCACCAGCACCCAGCTGAAACAAACATTCTTATAGGATGCTTTGGTTTGATATTGCTTATGGAATTTTAACAACCTTCCTTTAATGATAACTCAGAGCAGTAGTTTTCATGTTTCTTTGCAAAGAAAAAAAAAGACAATCTTAAAAACTATAATACTGAACCTAAAAATATACAGGAAATAAAAATAGGGAGCTGTTGTGGTTGAGTAGGAGAGGGATCTTTATCCTGGGCTTCACTTTCATCTCCCTGGGCCGTTTTGTGAGTCCCTGAGAGATTACACTGGCAAATCACTGACCTAGAAAAAGGCTTTTACTCTAAAGGGGACAGTGAGCCAGACAATGAAAAAGTGTAGCATCTCCTAGTACCTGTGATTCCCTTGGGGACTACCATTAGATGCCACAGGCATGGGACTAAGATGAAACAAAACCAAAGAGCAGCAGAGGCTAATCAGGGTTGCCAGGTCCAGTACTGTTTACTTGACAGGTAGGCATAGTGACGAGTCCACCAGAAACTGTGCTGCTCTTATACCAACCTAGCTCTGTGTTCCCCACCCCAATTCAGTAGTTCTCCATCTTTCTCTACTCAGCTCTGTGGAAGCCTATCAGGGTACTCTCCTTATGCTTTCATTGCAGAGAAGTACTCACAAATCCTTTTGTGTGCCTGCTGTTGTGAAGAATTCATAGGCCACTGTCCTCCCCTCACAAGAGACCCTTAGAAAAGATACATAAGGACCTGAGGAGGGTCATGTGCACCCAGGTTGGGTCAGAAAACCTTTAGGGAAGTGGTGAGAGTGGAGTCTTGAAAGATACATGGAACCTAAGTGTTTGCAGGGGAGATGGAGCTATTCTGTCCATTAATGATGCATGTGTGGGGCTGGTGGTGCAGCTCAGTGGTAGAGCACCTGCCTGGCAAGGGTGAGGCCCTAAGTTCAAACCCCAGTACTGCCCCCCCACATAATAATTATAATAATTATAATAATACCTCTGTGATGGCAACTCATGATAATCCTGTTTGTGTTTTAGGGATGGAGATGCTTATCGTCTTTATAACCTGGACATCTATGGATATCAAATACATGACAAAATGGGCATTTATGGCTCAGTGCCTTATCTCCTGGCCCACAAACTGGGCAGGACTATAGGCATTTTCTGGCTGAATGCCTCAGAAACACTTGTGGAGATCAATACAGAACCTGCAGTAGAGGTTAGCTATGGATCATGGCTGCATGTCATACTTACAGAAGAAATAAAGCCACCACATTGTAGTTATGGCTCTTTCCTTTGTGGCATTTCTCTGCTAACAAAAGCTTTGCAGTGTGGTCAGTGAATGTCAGTAGTATCTATTAATGGAACAGACTTGCATACAATTGGGTACTGTAGGTTAGAGGGAAATTTCTCAAATTTTTATTCCATTCCCTTTTCAGTACACACTGACCCAGATGAACCCAGCTGCTGCTAAACAAATGGTCAGACCTCGAACCAATGTGCACTGGATGTCAGAAAGTGGGATCATTGATGTTTTCCTGCTGACAGGACCTACACCTTCTGACATCTTCAAGCAGTATTCATACCTTACAGGTACTTGCATGTAGAAGTGCCATTTTTCTAGTTCCATTTTGTATTCTCTGTCCCACACGTCATTACTGTAAGTTAATATTTGTTACACATTATGTAGAAATTATAAACAACTTGCATAAGCATTGTAAATAGCAAGCATTCCTCCTCCCAACCTCATCACATTCAGCTCACCTTATACTGTAGAACTATCTACTTTCTAATCCTTAATACTTTCATCTGTTTCCCTTGGAGCCTGTAGTCTCCAGGTGTTATCTACCTCTAACCAATATCCCAACCCAAATTTCTCCATGAGAATATTCCAAGGCTTTAGCAATAAAGCATTTTATTTTTAAAAGAATGCAGGCTTTCCTCTAAGATCAGAAATGAGATAAAGCTTCCCACTTTTACCATACTATTCAACATTGTACTGTAACCAGACCAATGAGGTAAGAAAAAAGAAGTAGTAGTCATATAAATTGGAAAGGAAGAAGTTATCTCTATTTTCAGATGATATGACCTTATATGCAGAAAATCTCAGAGAACCAATGAAAAAGCTAATAGAGGCAATGAGCACATTTAGCAAAGTTGCAAGATACAAGCTCCACACACAAAACTCACTTGTGGTTCAGTATACCAGCAATGAACAACCCAAAAAAGAAATTAAGATAATTCCATTTATAATATTGTCCAAAAGGATAAAATATTTAGGAATAAACTTAACCAAGGAGCTTGTATTGGTCAGCATTTCCTCATATAACAAATACCTAAGATAATCAACTTATAATAGGAAAAGGTTTGTTTTGGCTCACAGTTTTGGAGGTTTTAATCCATGATTCATTGGTCCCATTGCTTTTGGGCCTGTGGTGGGAGCATGTGGTAGAACAAAACTGCTCACCTCATGAGCAAAAACAAAAGAGAGAAGAAGAAATGGGTCCCATGGTCCCTTCAAGGGCATATCCTCAATGAACTGAAGACCTCTGGACCACCTTGTAATGTTTCAGTCACTTCCCAATAACACCAAGCTGGAGACCAAGCCTTTAACACATGGGCCTTTGAGGAAGATTCTAGATCCGAACTATGGCAGAAATTAAAAACTTGTACACTGAAAACTACAAAATATTGCTGAAAGAAATTAAAGAAGTCTAAATAAATTAAAATACTAACATTTTGCCTCCTTGCAGGAATAAAACCATGTTTTTTCCCCTTCCATCATCCTTGATTGATAATTTGGCTAGCTAACTTAAAAATTCTTTCTCTCAGAATATGAAGACTTTTCTCTATTGTCTTCTAGCACCAAAGTCATTTTTAATTCTACTCCTTTGTATATGTTCTATCTTTTCTTTCTGAAATACCTTCTTCTACCTCTAATATTCTGAAATTTTAGAATGAAATCCTTTATATGGCTCCTTAAAAATAATTATTGTGGTAGATATTAGATGTAGACCCTCTCAATCTTGAGAATTGTGTGCTTGAGTTCTGGGAAATAGCCTTTATTATTCCTTTCATAATTTCACCTCCTTTTTCTTTTTCTCATCTGTATATTTTATAATCTCTTTTCCCTTTTGCTTATTTTCGGCCTCCATTTATGCTATCTGTGTCTCATGTCTAAGAGCACTTTCTTCTCCTCTGATAATTCCTTGTTTTTTTATAGCTCATACTTGTTTTATGCCATCCTAGTCTTGTTTATGGGTGCAATATTTTTTTCATCTCGAAAGATTAATGATCATGTTTTGATGGTTACTTTGGTTCTTTGCATTGTCCCTGTCTTCTAAGATATTTTATTCTTTTTTTATCTGGCTCCCTATCTCTGAGTTTGGAGACTTTCCTCAAATGTGGCTCTGCTAAGAAACTCTCTGTGCCTGAATGAGTCTCACACCCTAGCACTGGGGGAGTACAAGGTGTGTGTCTCCCATCTGCCAGTGTCAAGGGGCATGGTGGTACTCTCTCCTCAGTGTCCTCATAAGCACCCTGTGAAGCTGTCCTGACTGTGCTAAACAGTGACCATCCCTACCCTGCCTGCCACCTTCTGCATTTTTGTAAAAATTACTCTTTTCTAATTATCTTTGGTTTTGTGACTTTATTCCTTCTTTTATTTTCTTTACTGTGATTTCAATGAGACTTTAGTAAGGGAAAAAGAAATGCAAGTGGTTGACCAGAAGATTGACAATTATTCCCTGACAGTTCTTCCTACCTTCAGTCTCTTTCCCTTCAAATCAGTTTCAACATTACTCCCTCATTTAATTTTTTTAAAAATAGGTCTGCTAAGATTATATATTGCCAAATTTTTGGTGGTTTCCTCTAAGCATAGATTCAGAATTCCTAGCCTGAACTACAAGGACCTTTACAAACTGATCCTCTTCAGATTCATCTTCTACTGGGCTTGCTCACATAACACCCTGGAATATTAATTTATTTTCCCCAAAGCCTGCCATATATTTCTCTGCCTCTGTGTCACTTCCATTCTCCACACCTGGAGTGCTCTGTCTATTCTCCCTGTCTAGCATCCTCATAGGTCCAGACCAGTGTTACCTGCTCTGGAAAACTTCAAAGGCCCCACTTTTCATTGCAGCCAGGATTTATTAACCACGTTGTGTTTTTTTTTAGCAATAAGCCTATTAGCAGAGCAGTTATACCTCATGGAAGAGCAGTTTGTTTATGTACCTGCCTCACCACTCTGGTTGTTACTTCCTTGAGGCAGAGACTCTGCTTTCTTGTCTTTAGTATTCTGTGTACACTACCAAGCCTAGTGCTTAGTACCACTAGACACTGGGGAGATGTTTACCAAATGAGTAATGATCATTCTGATGGTAGTTGACTCAGCTGTCATCTTCCTCTTTTAGGCACACAAGCCATGCCCCCTCTCTTCTCCCTGGGGTATCACCAGTGCCGCTGGAACTATGAAGATGAGCAGGATGTAGAGGCAGTGGATGCCGGATTTGATGAGCATGACATTCCTTATGATGTCATGTGGCTAGACATAGAGCACACTGAGGGCAAGAGGTACTTCACCTGGGACAAGAAAAAATTCCCAAACCCCAAAAGGATGCAAGAACTACTCAGAAGCAAAAAACGTAAGGTAAAATATGCCAGCATTTCTGAAGCTTTTAATAACAAAACATTTTAGAATTTTAAAAATTTGTTTTGGCACATTAGCAGAGGAAGATTATATGATGAAAATAGTACCTTCAAATGTAATTGGGCTAGAAGTATAACTCAAGCAGTAAAGCTCCTGCCTAGCAAATGTGAAGACCTGAGTTCAAACCCTGGTACCATTAAAAAAAAAAAAAAAACTAACTGCGATAACAGAAAATGAATGGTGAAAAGGTGGTGGCTCCATCCATCCCTTCCCAAAATGATGCAGGAGCCTAGCATTTCCAGTCCCATTTGTTGAGACTATCCACACACACACTCACAATTTGCCTCCAATATAAAAACTGAAGCCATCACACATGCACCAAGAGTATATAAAACATTTATCACTCACGTGATAAGGCTTTGCAGGGAGAGCTGGGCTGGTTCCCAGGCTGCTTTAAAATGGCGTGAGTGAGGTGGGAAAGGAGTCTGGCTTAGCTTCTCTGGTGCTTAGAGAGTGGGGCTGAGGTAAGGGTTCTTGTGCCTGGATTGCAGTTTGCATGGTTTAACTTCCTGCTCAAAGGCAGGAGCATCAGGCTTTTCTTTATCAGCTTCCCCAGATGTGAGCAGAAAGGTAGCAGTGGTGGAATTCAAAAGTCCTTTACAATTACACATCAAAAAAGGAGGACTGGTAGAAAGACTCAAGTGGTAGAGCACTGCTGCCTAGCAAGCATGAAGCCCTGAGTTTAAAGCCCTGTAAACCCCCATACCCCCAAAAAAGAACAAAACATGGAATCACTTTTTCTGTCTGTGGTACCAGACTTTGAACTCAGGGCCTCACAGTTGCTAGGCAAGTACTCTACTGCTTGAGCCACGCCCCTAGCCCTATTTTTGCTTGAGTTATTTTTCAGATAGGGGCTCACATTATTGTTCAGAGCCAGGCTTGGACTGCAGTCCTCCTGCCTACACCTCCTGCCTATCTGGGACCATAGGCAAAACACCACCACATCCAGCTTGTTAGTTGAGATGGGGATCTTGCTAACTTTTTGCCCAGGTTGGCCTCAAACAGCAATCTTCCCAATCTCCACCTCCAAATAGCTGGGATTATAGGTGTTACCCTACTATGCCCCTCCTCTTTTTTTTTGCATGCTTCCCTGTTGAATTCCATAAATTCCTGTAAATTTGCACAAGAAAAGAACTAAAATAGAAAATGAAGATGGGAGAAGCCACTGGAAAGTGTATGATGCTATTTTCCTGTTCTAGGAGTGATGGTGGTACCAATAATGAGCAGAGGGAGGGAGAGAAGAAAATGCAAAGAGAAAGAGGGCTAACCCCATATGTGTCTTGTAAATGGATGCAGTCCCTCTCCCTAAAATTAAAGTTGCCTTTTCAATCCATTCCTTTGATCCCCAGGCTTTTCACAAGTGGCCAAAGTCAATCTTTTTAACTCCTAACTTCTCAATTAATAATGGCTACCATATAACAAGCATTTAATCATGGACTAGGTTTTGATAAAACACATTATTACATCCATTTATCATGAAACTATGAGGAAGGTCTTATTACTCCATTTTTCTGATGACACAGCTGAGACTCAGAGTGTTTTAGAGATTTACACCAGGGCACACAGTGAATAATAGCAAGGCAAGAATCAGCAGCCTGCTGTGATTCTTCTGTGCTCATAATGTTCAAGATGCTGTGGTAGTGCAGGAGGGGATGCAGGGATGAGCTCCTGGCATCTCCCAGTGAGTGGGGGAAAGCAGGTATAGGACCACAAGACAGGAAAGTAACACGAGGGCCAAAGAAAGGCAGGGTGGAAGTGGGTCGAGAGAGGGAAGATTGTGTCCTACTGGGGACTCTCGCTGCAGTGAGAGAACAGAACATCAAGCTGTTTTGACAGGAGAGCAAGGCATGTGAAGGTCTGAGTAGAGATCTAACCAGAAAATTTGGGGCCTTATTGTAAGCTGCTTTATATTCATTTGGATGGGTTAGTATCCAGAATATATAACAAACTCCTACAACTCAACAACAACAAACAATTTAAAAATGGGCAAAGGACTTGAATAACCATTTCCCCAAAGAAAACAAACAGATAGCCATAAGCATATGAAAGACACTCAGCATCCCTAATCATTAGGGCAGTGCCATTCAAAATCAGTGAAGGCCTGGAGATGTAGCTCAGTGGTAGAGCACTTGCTTAGCATGCACAAGACCCTGGATTTGAACCTGAGCACTGAGGAAAAACCCCCACAATGCAATATCACTTAACACTGTCAGAAAAGCTACTATTTAAAAAATAGAAACAAAACAACAGGTGTTGATGAGGATTTAAAGAAAGTTAGAATCCTTGTGTACTGCTTATGGAAATGTAAAATGCTATATGGAAAACAGTGTAGCAGGTCTTCAAAAAATTAAAAATAGAATTTCCATATGATCCAGCAACTCTACTTCTGGAGATAACCAAAGGAACTGAAAGCAGGAACTCAAATAAATATTTGTATACCTAAATTCATGGCATTGTTAGTCATAGCAGCCAAAGGGTAAAAGCAATTCAAGAGTCATAGATGAATGAATGGAAAAAGAAAATGTGGTAAAAATATACAGTGGAATATTACTCAGCCTTACTAAGGGAGGGAATTCTAATATATGTTACAATATGGATGAACCTTGAGAACATATGCTAAGTGAAATAAGCCAGTCACAAGAAAACAAATACGGTATGATCCCACTAATCTGAAGTAGTCAATCTTATATTCTACAGAAAATAGAATTGTAGTTCTCATGGACTAAGAGGAGGGAATAGAAAGTCATTGTTTAGTGGGCATGAGTTTCAGTTTTTCAAGATCAAAAGATTTCTAGATTTTGGTTTTACAACATTGTAAATGTAGTTAACACTATTATACTATGCACTTAAATAATGGTTAAAATGAGCCAGGTGTGGTAGTGTGTGTCTGTAATCCTAGGACTCAGGAAGCTGAGTAAGGAGGATTGTAATTTCCAGGCCAGACTGTGCTACCTAGTGAGTACAAGGCCACCCTGAGCAACATAGCAAGATGCTGTTTGAAAAAAAAGAAAGAAAGAAAAACAGGGTCTGGGGGTGTGACTCAAATGGTAGAGCAGCTGTTTGGCAAGCATAAGGCCCTGAATTCAAACTCCCATATTGAAAAAAAAAAAAAAAAAGGTTAAAATAAGCCTGGTATGGTGGTTCATACTTATAATGCCAGCACTGAGAAGGCTGAGGCAGGAAGATGGAGAGTTCAAGGCCAGCCTGGGTTACATAGCCAAACCCTGTCTCAAAAAAAAAAAAAAAAAAAGTTAAAATGGTATATTTCCTGTTGTGTATATTTTATATACTAAACAGTGAAGAAGGTTTGGGGCAATGGAGAATTAAACTTTATTATGTAAGATAGATTAGAGGGGCTGTTCTATCTAAGTAAAGTAGCTATTAAGGCCATAGCCTGGGCAGAAGGGATGGTATTAGAAAGGCAGAGACATGGAGTTGTGGCTTGCAGCTTTTCTCAAACCTCCTTCCTAAAAATGCCAGTACTATTGGGTTTGCAGTTTTGCTTGTTTTAACCATGTCATTTTCTTAGGTTATTTATTTATTTATCTATTTAGCTATTTGTTTGTTTTGGCAGTACTGGGATTTGAATTCAGTGCCTTGCACTTGCTAGGCAGGCACTCTACCACTTACGCTATGCCTCCAGCCCATTCTTGGGTTATTTAATGTTTATTTCATCAGTGTTAGCTTAGCCTGTAAATAAATGTCTAGGAAGTGGGGGCCTTGCCTACTTGATCCTTTATGTGTAGCACCCAGCATCACAGACAACAGAAACTTAATAAATGCCATCATAAGAACATGTAGTTCTAGGCAGCAATAATTACAAAGGAGCATTGGCCTTGTATTAACTTTTTAATATATTTGATTACATGAGAGGTTATAGGGTTTTATTGGTGTCTGAAATATTTCAATATGAGTTCTACTTGTTTCTGAATAAAGTTTGAACCCAAAGACTATAGTGAAAACATTATTGAATGTAAGTCCCATATAAGACTGTCAAGATCTTAAAATCTTTGTGTCCTGACAGCTTGTGGTCATCAGTGACCCCCACATCAAGGTTGATCCTGACTACTCAGTGTATGCTAAGGCCAAAGAAGAGGGCTTCTTTGTGAGGAACAAAGAAGGGGGTGACTTTGAAGGAGTCTGCTGGCCCGGTATGATTTCACTTTATACACATTATTTCCACTGCCTGGTCCCAATTAATGAAAATTATATGACTATAATTTTGTGGGGGTGGGGGTATTGGGGTTTGAATTCAGGACCTACACCTTGAGCCACTCTACCAGCCCTTTTTTGTGTTGGGTTTTTTTGAGATAGGGTCTCATGAACTATTTTTCCTGGGCTTGTTTGAACCACGATCCTCCTGATCTCTGCCTCCTGAGTAGCTAGGATTACAGGTGTGAGCCACCAGCACCCAGCATGACTGTCATTTTTGTTTCTTGCAGATACGGCTTACTCCTTTAGCTACATTTTAAGTACTCAAGGCCTCCCACTTGCTAGGCAAGCATTCTACCATTTGAGCCATTCCTGTAGTGATTTTAAGCAGCTTTAAAGAAGAGATGGTGGTATCTTTCATAACACCCTATACAGTGAGCTTTGAATGCATTTATATTAATCATTAATTGAATGAATAAATAAAAACAAAGAAACAAGCTTCAGTGACATGCTGTCTCTCTAAGCAAATACAAATAAGAAATAGGGAATGAGAAAAGGGGAGGAGGAGAGGAAAAAGTGTTCTGCAGGCTAGCTCCTGTGATTGCTTTGTCCTTTTAGTCCATAGTTTTGACCTCCCAGCCTTTCATGAGTGGCCTCAGCAGCCTCTGGCAACTATACATTTTTCATTTCAAAAGATATTAGTTTAAAGCCTTGGTATAAACTCTCTAAGGATAAAAGGAAATTACCATTCTTATCATAAATCCATACACTGTGGAAAACCATATGCCTTCCTTTTCTTCCTTTGAACCACTGGAGCATGCTTTTTTGTTATATTTAAGAACTGAGAGGTCACTGCAGGATATTTGCCTTCCTTACTTGGGCTATCTTAGACCATCAGTGAGGGACTGTCTCTGTCTTGATGGCTTAGTCCTTGAATTCCCCTGGGCTTCTGGTGTTGAAAAGTCTAGAGATTATCAGTGGAGTCCAGCATCATCTTCATTCACTTTTTTTGATCCAGTTCCTTGTGCATGCTAGGCAATTGCACTACTACTTGAGCTATACCCCAGCCCTTTATTTATTTGTTTGTTTATTTATTTATTTATTTAATTGTTTGTGAGATAGAATCTCATGAATTTGCCCAGATTGGCCTCAAACTTATTATCATCCTGTTTTCTACCTCTCAAGTAGCTGGGATTATAGAAATGTACCACCATGCCTGGCTTTCATTTAGTTCTTGCAGACTATGGCTCTTTTGGTTATCTTTTGTGTTTGATGAAAGGTGCCCATTGATTACCCAGCTCTCACATCTGATATCTCCGTGACAATACATCCTACTGTGAGGACCACTGCTCCTAACACACTGTCTGTTGTTCTGCCTCTGTAGGTCTCTCCTCTTACCTGGATCTCACCAATCCCAAGGTCAGAGAGTGGTATTCAGGTCTTTTTGCTTTCCCTGCTTACCAGGTTTGTTTTTATTCTTTTACTCTTTTCTAGTTAGTTTGACAGGATAAAAGGAAAAAAGTGATTGAATAGAACTACTCTGATTCATTGAGTAACTCTCAGTATGTAATGTTTTATACTAAAACGCAAGGATAGGCATCACATTATAGACTTTGGCAGTGCTGAGAGAGGCACCACATACATTACTAAATGCAAAAAGCTGTGGTTTTGGCCTCTAATATAAATGACTGTATCATATATCAAAGTACATTATAACATATTTATTATAGTTTCAAATTTCTGTGTCCATTTTTATATAAAATAGAATTTTATAATTATTATTTAAATCTGATATGATAAATGTGAAAATATAAGCTGTAATGTATTGTTAAATCTTATAAGGACCACAGAAAGAACTGGATAAGCTATTTATATATGTATGACGATATTATGATGCTGCTGATATAATGGTGCTGCTGCTGATGATAACTAGTACAAATTATGTGCCAAGGACTTTGCTAAGCACTCTATGTGCATTAGACCATTTCTTCTTTATAACCCTCTTAAGTTGGAACTATAAATAAATCTAATTCCCAGTTTCACTGAGGTCCCCATCTAGTAAGTGATGGATCTAAGATTTGAACTCAGGTCTTTGTCAGCCAAACCAAGCTCTTAACCACTAACTACTACTTTCTAGTATCCTTATTATCATCATCCCTGTGAGAGCATTTTTATAACCGGGATTTACTTCCCAGGGATCAACAGATATTCTCTTCATCTGGAATGACATGAATGAGCCCTCAGTCTTTAGAGGGCCAGAGCTAACCATGCAAAAGAATGCCATTCATCATGGCAACTGGGAACACAGAGAACTGCACAACATCTATGGTTTTTATCAGGTAAGACATCCAGAAAGAAGTCAGCCTCACTTGTGCATCCTGCTTTTTGGACAGAAAGTCATTACCTTGTAATAGTCAAGCTGTACTGTTCCTCTGTCTTGTGTGTTTTCTGACAACTGCAGTGAGTCTTCAGTTATAATCAATAGGAGATATTTTATTCTCCCTTCACTTCCTTTTCCTTCCATGTTGAACTTGATGAATTTTTAAATATTATACATAGCATTGGATATTAGCTCAAAACTTTCGACACATGTGGTGTATAAACATACTAACAAAGGTAATTAAAAGAAATGTTTTAAAATGTCACAAAAATCCAAATATAGCACACTTAGCATTCATACCAGGAAAGTAAGATTTAGAATACAGATATATAATTTTAATCAGTATATTTTTCAAATGTACAAAGCTTTCCTTAAGTACTTAGCCTTCTCAATAAAGGTAGTAGAATTGTCTTCTATTTGCCATTCACATTCAAAGATTGACAATGATTTGCCGTAATTTATACCCATGTTTCTTTGTTATTTTTAGAATGTGACTATATGACTTTGGCCCTCCCACCAATTGGTATTTTCCAATGGGAGCTGCTGGCTAGATAGAGCATGGTATATGTTTAGGAAGTATATGTTTACTTCTCTAACAGCCTGCTGCTATAACTGAAAACCACCTTAATTCGAGAATTGTAGGCCAAAGCAGGTCACTTAACCTCTCTGAACCTGTTTTTTTTAACCAATGAAAACTATCTGTCCCAGAGATTATTCTGTAGATTATATGAGAAAATATAAAATTCCTACACTGAATAAATGGTAGCTTATTTTTTTTCATAGTACTAGGGATCAAACCCAGACCTCACATTTCTAGGCAAGCATTCTACCTCTGAGCGGCAACCCCAGCCCTGTTTAGTATTAGTTCATTCCTATTGTTAATTAAAGAAATTTTTCAGGCTGGCAGAGTGGCTCAATCAGTAAGAGTGCCTGCCTAGCAAACATGAAGCCCTGAGTTCAAGCTCCAGTACCACCAAGGAAGGGAGGAGGAAGGAAGAAAATTTCCCATCTTTTAATAGGGAAATTTAGAGTATTTTCACTATATCATCAAAATGACTTGATGGATTTAATGTTTTCTATTTCACATTCCTACCTACTGTTTCTTTCTTTCTTTGTTTTTTTTTTTTTTTGGCATTACTGAGGCTTTAACTCAGGGCCTTCACCTTGAGCCACTCTACCAGCTCTGTTTTTGTGAAGATTTTTTGAGATAGGGTCTCAAGAACTTTTTTGTGCGGGCTGGCTTCATACCATGATCTTCCTGATCTCTGCCTCCTCGGTAGCTAGAATCACAGGCGTGAGCCACCAGTTCCTGGCCCTACCTACTGTTTATTTTCTGCATGTTAGATAGCTTATTGAGGATGTTGGCATGATGCCTTAATCCTGTCATCTCTTTGAAATTTTTCTCTATTGACTTGACAGCAAATGGCTACTGCAGAAGGGCTGATACAACGATCTAAAGGGAAGGAGAGACCCTTTGTTCTTTCACGTTCTTTCTTTGCCGGATCACAAAAGTATGGTAAGGAATAGCTCATATTGTCATATTGAAAAACACCAGTTAGCCACCTGTCTTTTTTGACCATTTATGATATCTGCTGGCACTGTGTTCTTTTTCAGTAATTGGTGCTTAGAACTTTGATTGGAGAGAGTAATATGCCCTGAAGTGTGCATTTTGTCCTTAAAAGCAGAGTAATTCAATTTTAATCAAGTTTAATACTTGCTTCTCACTAAAGAAGTGCCCACTTAGTAGTTGAGAAAGTGACTTCACTGTATTCAATTTGCTGACATGGTCATCTCTGATGCTGTCTCTTTGACTTATCAAAACCAGGAAAATATATTGCTAACATATTCCTTCAGCCACCTGTTCCACTTAGCAATATGGCTTAAAATAGACCTGGCTGTTGCTTGTGATCAGGGTCATCTATAATTGGATCCAGTTTAGTAGCTGATGCAGGTCTAGTTCAACCTGACCATGCTGTGGCAGGCTATTTTAAGTCCCCTGTCCCTGTCAGTTATTTATTGAGAGTTTAGGTCCTAATTTGAAGAACCTAGCCCTTACTGTACCAAAGACATTAGGGCTTTTACTCTGTCCCTGAAAAGCAGCCCCTGCAGTGTTCAGCCAAAGCACAAACTATTGTCATCTTAGGCAAATGTTCATATACAGAGATGCTCACCTCAGCATTAGTCCTTGAAACAAAAAAGAAATCTAAATATGTTGTTACATAGAGAATAGTATGGAATGGCCCTCATAGATTATCATGAGGCTGTTTTGTTTGGTTTTGCTTTTTTGAAATAGAATAGATTATCATGAGGCTATTTTGGTTTTGCTTTTATGCGATAGGATAATTTAATAGAGAAAGGATAGCTTTTTTTCAGTAAATGGTTCTGACTCAACTGGGTATATATGAGGAGGAAAATGATCCTCAAACCTTACCTTACACCATATTAAAAATTAACTGTACTACCACAAAAAATTAACTCAAGATGAAATGTAAAGCTAAGTTATAAAAGCTAAAATGAGCAAAAAGAACTCCTGGAAGAAAACATAGGACAAAATCTGTGTGACTTTGAAGTAGGAGGAAACACAAAAAAAAAAAAAAACCACAAAAAATATAAATTAGAATTAATTGAAATTAAAAATTCATCAAAATTACTACCCTTTCAAAGATATTTTAAGACAATAAAAAGGCAAGCCACACATTGGGAAAAATATTTGCAATACATATTTGTATTTGTCAAAAGATTCATGTCCCTAATGCACAAATAACTTTTACAACTCAATAATAAGACAGACACCTATGTTAAGAATGAGCAAAAGAAGCCAGATGCAGTGGTACACTCCTGTACTCCCAGCAATCAGGAGTCTGTAGCAAGAGGATTAAAAGTTCCAGGCAACATAGCCAGACCTGTCTCAAAAAAAAAAAAAAAAAAAAAAAGAAAAAAGAAAAAAAGACCAGGCCTGGTGGCACACACCTGTCCTCTCAACTACTTGGGAGGCTGAGGCAGGAGAATGACTTGTGTCTAAGACATCAAGGCCAATCTGTCTCAAAAATAAAAGCAAACAAAAAACGAGAGAAAAAGATTTGAATAGACATTTTACAAAAGAAGTCATATGAATGATCAACAAACACATGAAGAAATACTCAGCATCATCAGGAAAATATAAAGTAAACCACAGAGATGTACCACTTCACACCCATCAGAGTGCCTATAACTAAAAAACTTGGTACTTTCAGATTCTGCTGTTGAAGATGTAAAATGGTGTAACCACTCTCCCAAAAAAGTTTAAAATTTTCTTAAACATGTCACATACAGATTTGTACACAAATGATTATAACATCTTTGTTTATAATATCCAAAACCTGGAAAGAACTCATATGTTCATCAATAGATGAACAGATAAACAGCTTGTGATAGTTCCACACCATGGACTATTATCATTATGCTGAGTGAAGAAAACCTAGAACACAAAGAATACATATTATGTTTTTATTTATATGAAATTCTAGAAATGACTAAGCTGTGATCATAGAGATCACATCAGTATTTGGTTGGAGTGGGTGGTTGTAGACTGCAAATAAGCCCAAAGGAACTTTTCTAATTATGGAAATGTTCTGTGTCTTCCTTGTGCTGGTGGTTACATGGATGCACACATTTTTCAAAACCTATTAAGCTCTTTATTTTACATAGAAACATTTATTGTATGGAAATTATGTCTCAATAAAGTTTAAAACAATATTCCTCCTATCATAAAACTTGAATTATACTTCAAAAATAAGTGCTATGACTGGGAGAGTGTCTCAGATGGTAAGAGTGCCTACTTAGCAAGGGTGAGGACCTGAGTTCAAGCCCCAGTACTACAAATATTTCAGAATATTTTCATGGAAAGCCTGTTTGGTGGATTTTAATAACTTTTTCATATTAGAAATTGATGCATTTCACTGTAGAAAACCAGAATTTCTCTTTTTAAAGTAAGACACCTATTTTCCTTTTAATTAATTTGTCTTTTACAATAAGGAATCTTAATATAAAATTGAATGCATGGGCAAATTTGTGATTTTTTTTTTTTAATTCCTTGTTGCTGGTGACCAAAGGTGCAGTGTGGACAGGCGACAACACAGCAGAATGGAGTTACCTGAAAATTTCTATACCAATGTTACTTACTCTCAACATTACTGGGATCTCTTTTTGTGGAGGTAAGATAAGTCTTGTCTTGAGGCTTAAAGAGAGAGAAAATGAAAAGTGAGGGTATTTTCCTCTTAGCTGATCACAAATCCCTTCTCATTAGCTGTTTTGAGACATGCTTGGTAACTGAGTCCCTTCTTGAAACATACTTTTTCTTCTTCAAAGTGGGAAGAGTGGAGAGAACTACAAAGAATTTAGCAAAGCAGAAGTGAGTCTGGGCTGGGGTGTAGCTCAGCAGAGCTCTTGCCTAGCATGTGCAAGGCCCTGAGTTCATTCCCCAGCACCACAGCACGGAAAAAGTCAGCCTTAAAGACATCCTTTCTGCTCAGCAGATTTAAAATTCTGTGACATATTTTAACTGTGTGTTTTTAAAAGTCTGTGCTCTTGGAAAAGATAAATTTAGTTAAGTGTCTGATGGTTTGCCTTCCCAGCATCCTGAGAATTCAGTGCAGAAAGAGATACCAACATGAAAGGTACTCAGTATGGCTGCAGTTCCAGGGCTCCTTGTTTTCTGCAGGAACAAAAATAAATTATTATCACTTTTTTGGTATTTGTGTTTTATTACGTACAATACAAGAAGTATATATCCTGCCCAAGGGGTCGGCATGAAATTCTACCTAAACCTCTAAATCTGATTATTTGTTGCTGTTTAGTTCTTTCTTTAATTTTTATCTTGGTTTAGCTGTTGTTTTCAAAGGAAATCAATTACCAGCTACCTTCCCCACAACACACACACATACACACATTTAGTCAGCAGATATTTTGCAATTTCTGGGTAATATATGCTCAGGAGTGTTGATCATGCAGCAAAACTTCTGACCTTTTAACAACAAAAGAATATTCAGAGCATCTGTCCAATCTCCAGACAGGCTGGGTTTTGTAGTGTGTGTCCCCTATTTGAGGCCACAGTTTGAGCCTATCATTCTGAGTGTGCATGTGGCATTTTCTCCTCTCAGTCTGCAGTGCCTTATTTTACCTGTGTGCATCATTTATTCAAAGCCTGGCTGCTCATTTGGCCTTTCTTTGCCCAACCAGCTGATGTGGGCGGCTTCATTGGGAATCCAGAGGCAGAGCTATTAGTGCGTTGGTACCAGGCAGGAGCCTATCAGCCCTTCTTCCGTGGCCATGCCACCATGAATACCAAGCGGCGGGAACCCTGGCTGTTTGGGGAGGAGAACACCAGGCTCATCCGAGAAGCTATTAGAGAACGCTACACCCTCCTGCCCTATTTTTATTCTCTGTTCTACTACGCACATGTGGCTTCTGAACCTGTCATGAGGTAAAAAAGAATCCTCCATCTGGGGACCCCAGCAACCAATCCATAACAGATCCTTTCAGTGATTAGGGACTGGAGTGAGTACACAGTGGTTTTAAGAGGAAAAGTGAAGAAAAGCATATGTTTAATCAAATTTCAGTGGGCTTACTATCAACTATACACAAGGTGCTAGCTGTTAACGAAACGGAAAATGAAAGCTAGATCCCCTACAACTTGTGATTAAAGTATCAGTATTTGCTAAGAGATAGAAATAGAACTATTTCAAAAAGTATGGGATGGTTTTGTAACTGATTCATTCCATGTTTAACCATAAGCATCCTCTCATAAAGAATATCTTACCTGTTTTGTGTGGTGATTCCTCACTATAATCCCAGGAGTCATGAGTTTGAGACCAGTCCAGGCAAAGATAGCAAGATGCTGTCTCAAAAACAAAAAAGGGCTAAGGGCATAGCTCAAGTGGTAGAGGTCCTGCCTAGCACGCCTGAGGTCCTGGGTTCAACACCCTGTTGCAGAAAAAAAATAACAACTTACCTGCCATCTGAGACTTTATCCAACACCCTTAGGGTGAAACTGTTCCAGGTTTGAGGTGAACATTTTTTCTAGTGTGTAACCAACTTTGTAAGTTAGAGAACAATGCACACATAGGCACATAATACACTTAAGACTTCAGAGTCAGAAGTTCCTAAATTTGGGTCAGATTAGAATCACCTGGGGAACTTTTTAAACCTACAGGTTCCAAAGGGCACACCTCCAAAGCCTTCTAGGAATCTTCTTGGGTAGTTCTCAGGAATCGACCTTTGTTAGAAGTTTCTCTGGTGATTCTAGACATGAACCAGGTTTAAAGACCACTGCTTTGTTATCATTCAGTAGAAGAGAAATATATTATAACAAAGGCAGGTGAATAAACTAAAAATAAATTTCTTATTAAAAAAATCTCTTCCTTGTGAAATTGAAAAATTACTAGAACCATTAAGTTGATATCCAAATAGATAGATATTGGAAGTTTTGTTATTTTTATGTACCTGAATGCCTCCTAGATAAGTTGTGTGAAACAATAATCATCAAAAAAGAATACTCGCTGGGTGCTCGTGGCTCACACCTGTAATCCTAGCTACTTAAGAGGCAGAGATCAGGAGGATCATGGTTCAAAGCCAATGCAGGAGGAGAATTCCAAGATGGCGGCTAGAGGGAGGAAGCAGAAAGCGACCCTCCTATAGTGAAATCTTGGAGAGACGCTGGAGACACACTTTGCAGGCATAATCTCGAGAAAAGGCATAACTTTGACTCCTCCACATCTCCAGCCGGCGCAGAGAATCTCCACTTCACGTTAAACGGAGAACCGAGGAGGCCCCCGGGCCGCCAGTGGCCGGCGCCCATACAGCTTGGGAAGACGCGGACCAGGTGAGCTTCGCGGTACCGCGGTTCCCCCACAGACAAGCCTGGGCCAGAGCAGCATAGCCCCCTGGACAGACTGACCTCCACCCGGGAAAAAAAGAGAAACTGAGTACTAAGCAATAAGAACAGTTAAGACACGCTGGAAAGAGGGTGGGGCGCCCTGAGCGCTGAAGATTGGGGGAAGGGAATCCTTCCCGGGACTGTAAATAAACGAGCCGGGCGGCCGGAGAGGCTCTGGCGGGAGCGGGGCGCGCCAGCAACCAGGAGCGGGACGCTTGTGAGAGGAGGGAAGACCCACTTCCCACGTGAACTGTAAATAAACACGCAGGCCTGACAACGCGGGGCAGTGCACCTTTCCCAGTGCTTGGAAAGGGGAAAGCCTGTAGCAGAGGCCCCGCACAGGAGAACTCTGAGCAAACAAAGCCTGTGGGACCAGGTGAGCTAAGCTCACCCCAGAGATCTGCATAAATAACGCCGCCAGCTACAGGCTGAGAGCAGCAGGCAGGCAAGCCACAGTTGCAGATACCACTCTCAGAACTGCCTCCAGACGCTTTTTTTTTCTTTTTCTCCCTACCTTTGATGAGAGAACAACCGAATTACACCTGCAAGCCGAAAAACTTACTGAAACTGTATTGCATTTGAACTGGGGACACTTGGTGGGGCTTTTTTTTTTTTTTTGTGTGTGTGTGTGTGTGTGTTTTGTTCTACTTTATGCATCCCCTTTGATGAGACAACTACAGAACAACATCTGAGCACCAACTCCAGGACTGGAGATTGAGACGGACATCCAAATTATTAAGACTGAAATTGCATTGCATATAAACTTGGAAGTTTTTTGGTTTTTTGTTTTTTTTTTTTTAATTTTCTATTTTCCATTTTATTTTAATTCATTTTTATAAATAGATATTACTTTCATATACTTATTTTTATTTTTTTTATCTTTGATTTTCAATCCTCTCTCTGTCACTCTATTGTCTGTTCAGTTACTGTCGATTAGTACACTAACACTCCTGTTTATACCTTTGAAACTCTCTTGTCTGAATACCTTGTTCTCTTTCTCCCTCTTGTCTGTATATTTGTTTTCCCCTTTTCTTTAACTTCTTGCTTTCCATCTCAGCTCACTCTTCCATTCTCAAATTACCATTGTTATATTACAAGCTAGAAAATACTTAATTACACACAGTACAGGGACAGTAACAACACCAAGGACAATGACAGGAAGACAGAAAAAACAAGGAAACCAGTTTCCCCACAGCAAAAAAATTAGTTACAGAACCAGAGGGGAATGAAGAGAACAGAAACTTCAGAGCCCAGACTCCAACAAAAATGAAGATATAAAACTTATGCCAAAGGACCAATGAAAGGCCGACAGAATATTTAAAGAAACATACTACAATACTCAATGAGAATTATAGAGATGATACTGGATGAGGTTCAACCAAAATGTACAGGAGACACTCAAGAATTCCCAAGACAATAAAAAATACGAAGAATTTGAAAAAGCAAAAGAAGAAAATAAAGGAGAACCATAGAAGCACTGTAAAACACCAAAGTGAGAAGAGGAGAACACAATGAAATAAAGGATAAATGAACTCAGGACAAAATAGACAACAATAAAAGAAGAAAACAGCCAGGATATGGAAAACCTCAGAAAAAAAGAACGAAACAAGAACTGCAAAACAAAACGGAT